GTTTATGACGTCGAATATCGACGTCATAAACACGTTTATGACGTCGATATGAGTATAACACAAACTTGATGGTGTTTATGACGTCGAATATCGACGTCATAACACCAAACTTGATGGTGTTTATGACGTCATATGACGTCATAAACACCAAACTTGATGGTGTTTATGACGTCGAATATCGACGTCATAAACACCAAACTTGATGGTGTTTATGACGTCGAATATCGACGTCATAAACACCAAACTTGATCGTGTTTATGACGTCGAATATCGACGTCATAAACACCAACCTTGATGGTGTTTATTACGTCGAATATCGACGTCATAAACACCAAACTTGATGGTGTTATGACGTCGAATATCCACGTCATCAACACCAAACTTGATGGTGTTTATGACGTCGAATATCGACGTCATAAACACAAACTTGTGTCGAATATCGACGTCATAAACACCAAACTTGCTGTGTTTATGACGTCGAATATCGACGTCATAAACACCAAACTTGCTCGTGTTTATGACGTCGAATATCGACGTCATGAACACCAAACTTGCTCGTCAAACTTGCTCGTGTTTATGACGTCGAATATCGACGTCATAAACACCAAACTTGCTCGTGTTTATGACGTCGAATATCGACGTCATAAACACCAAACTTGCTCGTGTTTATGACGTCGAATATCGACGTCATAAACACCAAACTTGCTCGTGTTTATGACACCAAACTTGCTCGTGATGACGTCGAATATCGACGTCATAAACACCAAACTTGCTCGTGTTTATGACACCAAACTTGCTCGTGTTGATGACGTCGAATATCGACGTCATAAACACCAAACTTGCTCGTGTTTATGACGTCGAATATCGACGTCATAAACTTGCTCGTGTTTATGACGTCGAATATCGACGTCATAAACACCAAACTTGCTCGTGTTTATGACGTCGAATATCGACGTCATAAACACCAAACTTGCTCGTGTTTATGACGTCGAATATCGACGTCATAAACACCAAACTTGCTCGTGTTTATGACGTCGAATATCGACGTCATAAACACCAAACTTGCTCGTGTTTATGACGTCGAATATCGACGTCATCAACACCAAACTTGCTCGTGTTTATGACGTCGAATATCGACGTCATAAACACCAAACTTGCTCGTGTTTATGACGTCGAATATCGACGTCATAAACACCAAACTTGCTCGTGTTTATGACGTCGAATATCGACGTCATAAACACCAAACTTGCTCGTGTTTATGACGTCGAATATCGACGTCATAAACACCAAACTTGCTCGTGTTTATGACGTCGAATATCGACGTCATAAACACCAAACTTTCTCGTGTTTATGACGTCGAATATCGACGTCATAAACACCAAACTTTCTCGTGTTTATGACGTCGAATATCGACGTCATAAACACCAAACTTGCTCGTGTTTATGACGTCGAATATCGACGTCATAAACACCAAACTTGCTCGTGTTTCTGACGTCGAATATCGACGTCATAAACACCAAACTTGCTCGTGTTTCTGACGTCGAATATCGACGTCATAAACACCAAACTTGCTCGTGTTTATGACGTCGAATATCGACGTCATAAACACCAAACTTGCTCGTGTTTATGACGTCGAATATCGACGTCATAAACACCAAACTTGCTCGTGTTTATGACGTCGAATATCGACGTCATAAACACCAAACTTGCTCGTGTTTATGACGTCGAATATCGACGTCATAAACACCAAACTTGTTCGTGTTTATGACGTCGAATATCGACGTCATAAACACCACACTTGCTCGTGTTTATGACGTCGAATATCGACGTCATAAACACCAAACTTGCTCGTGTTTATGACGTCGAATATCGGCGTCATAAATACCAAACTTGTTCGTGTTTATGACGTCGAATATCGACGTCATAAACACCAAACTTGCTCGTGTTAATGACGTCGAATATCGACGTCATAAACACCAAAGTTGCTCGTGTTTATGACGTCGAATATCGACGTCATAAACACCAAAGTTGCTCGTGTTTATGACGTCGAATATCGACGTCATAAATACCAAACTTGTTCGTGTTTATGACGTCGAATATCGACGTCATCAACACCAAACTTGCTCGTGTTTATGACGTCGAATATCGACGTCATAAACACCAAACTTGCTCGTGTTTATGACGTCGAATATCGACGTCATAAACACCAAACTTGCTCGTGTTTATGACGTCGAATATCGACGTCATAAACACCAAACTTGCTCGTGTTTATGACGTCGAATATCGACGTCATAAATACCAAACTTGCTCGTGTTTATGACGTCGAATATCGACGTCATAAACACCAAACTTGCTCGTGTTTATGACGTCGAATATCGACGTCATAAACACCAAACTTGCTCGTGTTTATGAGGTCGAATATCGACGTCATAAACACCAAACTTGATGGTGTTTATGACGTCGAATATCGACGTCAAATACACCAAACTTGATAGTGTTTATGACGTCGAATATCGACGTCATAAACACCAAACTTGATGCTGTTTATGACGTCGAATATCGACGTCATACACCAAACTTGATGGTGTTTATGACGTCGAATATCGACGTCATAAACACCAAACATGATGGTGTTTATGACGTCGAATATCGACGTCATAAACACCAAACTTGATGGTGTTTATGACGTCGAATATCGACGTCATAAACACCATCAAGTTTGGTCTTTATGACGTCGAATATCGACATCATAAACACCAAACTTGATGGTGTTTATGACGTCGAATATCAACGTCATAAACACCAAACTTGATGGTGTTTATGACGTCGGATATCGACGTCATAAACACTAAACTAGATGGTGTTCATGACGTCGAATATGGAGGTCATAAACACCAAACTTGATGGTGTTTATGACGTCGAATATCGACGTCATAAACACCAAACTTGATTGGTGTTTATGACGTCGAATATCGACGTCATAAACACCAAACTTGATGGTGTTTATGACGTCGAATATCGACGTCATAAACACCAAACTTGATGGTGTTTGTGACGTCGAATATCGACGTCATAAACACCAAACATGATGGTGCTAATGACGTCGAATATCGACGTCATAAACACCAAACTTGATGGTGTTTATGACGTCGAATATCGACGTCATAAACACCAAACTAATTGGTGGTGTTTATGGCGTCTAATGTCGACGTCATAAACACCAAACTTGATGGTGTTTATGACGTCGAATATCGACATCATAAACACCAAACTTGATGGTGTTTATGACGTCGAATATCGACGTCATAAACACCAAACTTGATGGTGTTTATGACGTCGAATATCGACATCATAAACACCAAACTTGATGGTCTTGATGACGTGGAATATCGACGTCATAAATACCAAACTTGATGGTGTTTATGACGTCGAATATCGACGTCATAAACACCAAACTTGATGGTGTTTATGACGTCGAATATCGACGTCATAAACGCCAAACTTGATGGTGTTTATGACGTCGAATATCGACATCATAAACACCAAACTTGATGGTGTTTATGACGTCGATATTCGATATCATAAACACCAAACTTGATGGTGTTTATGACGTCGAATATCGACGTCATAAACACCAAACATGATGTTGTTTATGACGTCGAATATCGACATTATAAACACCAAACTTAATGGTGTTTATGACGTCGAATATCGACATCATAAACACCAAACTTGATGGTGTTTATGACGTCGAATATCGACATCATAAACACCAAACTTGATGGTGTTTATAACGTCGAATATC